GTAGACCTGCAAATCCCACTCAGGCAAAGGTTCCTGTTGAATCCTCCCTGAGATAAGAGTAATTTCTAAAGCAACCATCACCATGCCAGGGCTATATATCACTAGTCAAGTAGTTTATAGCCAAAGTCCACAGACAAGAAGGCCCAGGGCGAGTAGGCTGGGCTGCTGGGAGCACAAAACATTCACGGTAAGGACTTACCACAGCACGTGAGAATTGTTGAATGCTTACAGTGATGCAGGGATTTGAAACAAATACCAAAAATTTGGGATCTGACGGGAAGAAAAAGCAGCTGTACATGGAGAAAGCAGGTTAGAGAAAGGGGATGAATAAAGAATAATTATCACATGAGCAGACAACCTTGCTTGTTTAACTGTGTGTTTGGCTCACATAGCTCCTGTGTAAATCTAACCTTGCTTGCTAATACTTCGTGACTTATGACAAGAAAAGCAGGTAGCTGTGCTTCGGCAATTGTTTCCATGAGGGCACGGGGTCACACGACTGAATCGTGCTGATGGGAAGAGCAGCAGTGCTCTAGGAACACTGCCCTTGAGGAAATGCCTCCTGATAACCATTCACTCCCCTGTTATCTGCAGCATCAGCACGATAACCTTTTTTTACAGCAGAATTGGGAATGATGCCTTTGTGTCATTATACTAACAGCCAGCCTTAGGAGCTACCAGGCAGCGTTACAGCTGCTTCAGGGTGTTGAGCACTTGTTAAAGACACTGGAGATAAATGGACTTGACTTTATAATTTCATTTATTGTAAATAAAGATTTTTCTCACGGATACATCAAGGAGATCCAGACTAGTTATTTTAATGATCAAGTCAGAGGTCACTGGTCTTTGAGACAGTATTATTCATTGTTTCAGAACTAGCTGCTTAAAAGTCTTGTCCCGTACTAAGACTACACTGAACAATGTCAGACCCTAAAGACAGATTTAAGCTCCAGAAACCTGCAACTTGCATATTAAGAAGCAACAGAACGACAGCAGGTGGACAGACAGCACAGGAAACCAAACAGACTGTATGTGCCAGGCTGACAGTCCCTATTTGGAACACACCAGTAGCCCGTGCTGCACTAGAGCAAGGGTCAACTATAACATGAGACAAGCTTGGCAAGAGGCAAGCAGCTGCCTGCGCTGTTTGGGGCCAGCTCCCACAGGCTTGACAGGTCTGGCTCCAGGTGGTCCTGTGGTGGCCACGCCCTGGGGGCAGTCAGCCTTCCTTCTCTATCCCAGAAAATGCCATACATAGGAGATGCAAAGATACAGTCGACTGTGCTGCAATCCCAACTCTTAACCACTCAAGGCCAGGATATTTTTAAATCCACAACTCTGACATGAGAAATGGATTTGCTTTGACAAGTGTCAAAGCTGCTGTGGAGAAAGCGATCCCATTCTACAGTGCACAGCCAAGTACTCTTTTACTTTATTCTCTAACCCTGTCCAGCTTCCAAGAGACTCCTGCAGACTTGCTCACTGCATCAAAGTTGGCTTCCCCACCTCAAGGAGACAGAAAATAGTTATATGCAAAGTGCTCAACACACTTGGCTCCAATTTCTGTGGGCTTGGCCTGAATGCTCAACATTGTTAGAGGTGGAGCTCCTCTACTGAAGCTTTGGATCCTACCTCTGTCAAAAGTTCAAGGCAAGAACAGCAACTTGAAGTGCTGACTGCTCTTCATGACTGACCTGCTCTTCGCAATGACAACCACAGCAAGCAGAGCTGAAGGCAGAGCTGCAGCCACCATCACAGACACACACACTCCTGGGGAAACAGGAAAGCAGAATCCCAGAACTCCTCTGGATATTTCTGAACTCCTTTGCACATCTTCTATCTACTAAGGCATGTTATTTACCATACATTCAGAACCAATTTTACTGTTTGTAAAATAACAGGGGAAAAAAAGAGGGAAAAGGGGAAAAAAGAAGAAAAAAATAATCAAAAAGAGGGGAAAAAATAATAAAAAAGATTTTAAAAGGGAAAAAATAATAAAAAAAGAAAGCCAGTCAAGATTCCCCCTCCCCCCCCAAATTATATAGTCCACATACTAAGAAAGCACACAGCATTTTTCCCATTCAAGGAACTAGCTCTCAGTCATTTTTCTTCTAATTTCTTCAAAGGGGGTATAAAGAATGTAGGTAGCCTAATCCTGTGGAGAAAAACATGAGTATTGGTGCATATTTCCAACCAGGTTCCCTATAGACACCAAGCTTAAGCAATCACACTGCATAAGCATCTCAATTTTCTTATAATAAGTTTTGAGCTATGGGGTCTATTTCAACCAAACTGATCACATCAAGTGTCACAGATGGCAAGTTCCACCTGCTTAGCAGAAAACAGACACCCCCTCCCAGTGTCCTCATCGAGCATTAGACTAGGGAGCCCTCCAACTTTATTAGATCTCCAGTTCCTCATGGTTGAGACAAAAACCCAAAGAAATTCAGACCACTTCTCAAAAGAGGCCAATGCCACCTTTCACTATAGATGCATGACTTCTTTGGAACACCAGAATGCTTCCCATCAGGGCCCATCTCTTCTATCATAACCTTAGGGAAGTCAGGAATTTGGCCAAGCAAACTTCAGTGTAGGAACTCCAGATTATTCCTGCATAACCTTGTTTTCAGCTATGTACTGATGGTACTGGGAGGATGATTTCAAATGGAAAGAGCTGGATCAAACTGATGAAAGGCAGATGTGGAAGGGCCACATTTATCCTTTTTTGTTCAGACAAGGACACTTTGCTCCACAAGATCCTCAGTTTCTTAAAAAGAGTTAAAATAGTTAATAAGTAGGTAGGGATAGCTGAGTTTCCCAGCTGGACTGTTGGGGTCCAATACACCACCTAAACATTACCAGGGTGAACAGACAGGTCTATTTATTCACTAATGTGCTCACCTTCCAAGGGTAATCATCTGAGAAACTGAAAGAACTGTCTGGGGAGGGGTCCCTTTTTCTGAGGGTGGGCACGTTAGGTCGAGTTAATGATCCTCTGTTTTTCTACATGCCCTTCATTAAAAAGAAACTGCATATCCTGTTTCTACATTGTTTGACAAGTATCTGAAAACATCTGAAGGAGGAATTCAACTGCCTTATCCATACTGCCTAGTTACCAAAACCACTTTTCTGTTTCTAAAAACCAGATGTACCCAAATCCTCTAAACTTGGTATTTATGTTAAAATAGCAGCAGCATTTTATCCACTAGCTGCGTTTACTTACTTCGCCTGTTGACAACTGCAGTCCTGAAAATCCTCTGTCTTCACTTTCAGGCTCCTTCATACTGATGTACTGTCAACACAGCTACTCAATTTGCCTCTGCTTCTATCTACACAGAATTAATTTTCCTTCCTCGAACTAAACTGCTCTGAAAAAGGCACAATTTTTCAACTGTGCTGGTATGCTGGAAGGAATAAAAATCATAGTATTACTGCAACAAGTTAAAAAGCTATTTTATTTTTTTAAGTCATGCTATTGCTACCTAGAATACCATTACACAAGCAAGACAGTGACTATTTCAGTTTTGGACAACAGAACACCGTGGGCTACTGTTTTTGAAGAGTGAAAACCTTGGATAATCACAGGCCTCTGAACTTATTTCCACCATTGCAATGGCGAATGCTGTCAAATTAGTGCTCTTATACTCTTCCTGGCAGCACAAGTCACAAACTTCAGCTCTGGTAAGGACTGCTGGGACAGGAATACTGCTCAAACCCTTGAATGGACCCCTGTGCTGGCTGGTGGCAGTTTACTCATCATCCAAGGTTCTCACACAGCAGAAGATGAAGCTTTTCTTTCAGAACAGTTTTGACTGTTATTTAGAGTATCGCTAAAAACCTGAGTTACTTAGAACCCAACATCCTGCCTCCCACCTCAAACCTGGTTGCTTTAAGCAGTGTAGATCACATTGTTGTGAGATCACTGCCATAGCATCCAAGTGCAAACACATCAAAAAAATTGTAATACGGGTCCCAATGCCCAGGTACGCTGAAAAACAAGGAAGAAGGGAAAATATCCTCTTCCTTTCACCATAGTGCAGAAACTCTCCAGAAAGGAACCCACAGTTCTGCAGGTTTTTCCAAACAGACACTGAAGAACAGAAGACACTGAAAATTTCACATCTGCACAGCCCTTTTGTTGCAAACTTCTTAAGAAGTGTAGCAACCACAGTGAAGGACGTCACGTAAGACCGAGAAAAAACAGTCACAAGGACACAAAAATACCCAGACCCACTGATCAGTGTACTTTAGGTGTATTTTTTATTTACAGAGTGGAGGTGCCTAATCACTTATAAGGTTAGACACCTGATAATTCAGCTTTTTTTGTAAAAGTATATAAATATATACATGAAACTCTATGAAGTAAACATTATTAACTGTGATACTTACAGTAAACATTCACTACTATCCTTATGCTAACAGGTATCTCTTAAATGCTGATTTCAAGATACCCTCTATAAAATAGCTGGAACTGTCCTGAAAGGGCAAAAATTCTGTGCAATAAACAAGCTTTTAAAAGAGATTAATAACATGTCTTTGTAATAAAAGTTTGCCAGGATAAAAATACTGCTTCATTCCTCCCACTCCCCCATCCCCTAAGACACAAATATCCCAAAACAGTTGCAAACCTGCAGGAAGTAGTATAAGATTATTTTTTTCTTCTTCTTTACTTTTTTTTTTTTTTTAATTAAAATATTTTTATTTCAGTATTTTATCACATATTAAGGAAGCTGCAAAAAAATGCAGCTTTATTAAATATTATTTACTGTTATACAAAAATATGTGTCCATGGGGCTGAAGACATTAGTGGTCTTGTATGAGCTATCCCTTTTCCTTATAACTATATACCTTATTTGGAATGATGGAGAGATTTTTTAACAAATATATCTGACAGCAACTGAAGAAAGGGACTGGAAAACGATTGGCAGAACAAAGAAAACATGTGAGAGCCTCTAGACCTCCTTGCTTCCTTATTTTAAAAGCACTTTTGCTTCAGTATTTTATTTGCCTCTCTGTTGTTCTTCATGTTGGAGATGATTCAGGACATAAAGGATAACTTGATAGCAGAAAATGTACTGATCCTGCAAGGGAAAGGAAATCAGAGAACATGTGAAAAATGTTGGCACCACCTCAGCAATTCACTCTCACCTGCACAGCACTGGATTTCAGTGCTGTTTCTACAATTAAACACAAAACCCACAGTGGAGAAATATGCAACCTCAATTTAAAACAATTACAGGCACTCCCCTGCCACTAAAGAGATATTTTCATATGGGACATTTATCCTCCTTTCTCACCAAAACAACCTCAAACAGAGCAAGTACTTTACATAAGTGGAAATGAAGACAGCAAGTGTCAAGGTCTTGCATCAGTGCCAACTAATACAGAACTCAGATGACAGTGCAACTTCATATCTTAATCTCAGTGATACAGGGGTGAGGCCTAAGACACATCCTTGGGCACGAGATGGGGCTGATAGTTTTGTGGCTTGGTTTTAGGTTGGTTTTGTTGTGCCTTTTCTTCTTTAACTATGATTTGGCAATTCTTTCACAAAGGCAAAGTGCAGATTTTAATAAGACCTTGCCATGTCTATCTCTAAGGTAAAGTTAATTAGCCCTAGATCTAGATTACTCCTAAAATATTCATTTAGCTGATGGTTGAATATCTCCCCAAAGGAGATTTCAAGAAATCTCTGGCAGTATCAGTGATTCATAGCAGCTACAGTTAGGTCTTCTCTTCAGTTTCTTATGCAATTTTTAGCCAAAAAAAGCTCATCTGATTTCCTCTAACACACACTTTTGAAGAAGAAAACTCCAAACTTTTATTTTAAAAAAAAAACAACACAGATCAAAACAGCACAGCATGCTAAAAATTGCATGCATTTATAACTGTTAAAGATACACTGCTACTCACTGGTATGCACCTGATCTAGTGGAGAGTGTCCCTACTGATGGCAGGGAGGTTGGAACTAGATGATCTTTAAGGTCCCTTCCAGCCCAAACCATTCTATGATTCTATGACACAAACATTATATTAGAGGGCAAAAAGACAATCACTATGTGCATCACAGAAAGTTTCCTGACACATCAGAGATAGAATTTGAGTCTCTTTCCTTTAGTGTATACCTGGGGAAGCCAGCCAGACTCACCTCCGTCTGAACCATCCCGTGTCTCTGCAGACGCATCGTGCGCACCAGGTCTGAGATGTCAAACTACCGAAACAAACAGCAAGTTAAACATCCAAAAAAGACAGACATGCATATAAAGGAAACCTCCCCCCCAGCATCAAACCAAGGAATTCAACTAGATACATTAAACATTTAGTAGTGTAATAAATAACAATTCACTAAAGCCTGTGCTTGGCTGGTAGATAACCAGCATGTGCTGTCTCTGGGTGACATGGACATGGGCCTCCTACCTCAGACACCCTCCTCTTGTTTTCTTTCTCTGTGCACAGGCTCTCTTACTGGATGCTGAGTGTGCAGAAAATAGAGCTCCTTGGTCCAAACTAACAAAACACCTTATTTCCACGGGTCTATAAAGTTCTAGACATTTAGTGGGTGCTTAGAAACCCTGCTGCGCTAAGCATGACATAGCTCATCTTTACAAATTCAATGAAGGACATAAACACAAGGAAGCCAGCACCCTCCTGTGGCTTGCCCTCGAAAGCACATCCCTGGTTGTGCTGGAAAAGTTCATTTACAGACCCTCAACTCCAGCTGAGATGTTTGTACACTGAGTTTCTGATTCAGTTACCTAAACAGATACTCTGGTTGGCTTACAGTTGCCTTCCAACAGTTCATGGATCTCTGACCGACCAAGTGCCACAGTTCTCAGCTCTAATGCCATTTAACACCACAGTTCTGTTGAGTCCATCCAGCCAGGTAAGGCAGGCATTTTAACTTCCTTCAATGGCCCAAGTTATCATGGCAACACACTGCTGTTCCCAAGCCATATGCCAGAAATCTGCTACAGCTGGAGATGTCCCAACCGTATGGTTGGAGATGTTGGATGGATGCCCCCTCCCTGGAAGTGTTTAAGGCCAGGCTGGATGAGGCTTTGAGCAACCTGGTCTAGTGGAAGGTGTCCCTGCTGATAGCAGGGGGGTTGGAACTGGATAGAGCTTTAAGGTCCCTTCCAACCCAAACCATTCTGTGATTCTATGTCCTTGCAACATACCCTAGAACATCTCAAGTGGCACCTAACAGTGTTGGATTGCTGAGGTGTCAACAAACAGGACACTTAACAAGATTCCTGGAGCTAACCCAAGAACCAGTGGGTGTTAGAGCTCTTCCTCCTCACCAATCATCAACAAAGAAACACTTCACAGCTACTGCTGTCCTACACCCTGATGTATGTTACACTAAGACATGGCCAGCATGCTACTCTCAAAAGCATGGCATATTCTTTAAACAAATGAATTGATCCAATGGAACACATTTCCTGCAAGTCAAAAGCATGGCTTAGCCCATCCTCTTGGGTACTCACATCGAGGTCTCTGCTGATCAACCCCAGAATAACATCTATACAAATAAGGGTCCCCGATCGTCCGATGCCTGCGCTGCAGTGAGTTATGATAGGTCCTGATTTGTGGACGTGCCGCATGTAGGAGATAAAAGTAAGGAGGTCATCTGGTTGAGAAGGAGTGTCATGATCAGGCCAGGCAATGAAGTTCAGATGGGAAATGTGCCGTACTTCACCTGTCTGAGGTTTAAAAACAACAATAACAACAAAATGTAAGACATGGGAAGAATAAAAAGACAAAAGGGAAGTTCCCAAAGGAAGCAGTCTCAGAAGAGAGGGATTTGCCCAATGGAGGTGTTCTGTAATTCAATAAAACAAGGAAAAAAATGAGCTAAACTGAAAACAATTAGCAAGGAATTGAATAGTATAGGGTTCACTATGCAGACTGAACTGATCTCAGAGAGGAATGAACTAGCCAGACTGAATTATTAGTGAATTTCATATTCCTATATATGTTTCTGTGGACAAAGGCACCTAGGGAGCCAAAATTTAGAGTCTCATCAGCATAATGAAATCACCTCTCGGCCCAACTGCATTCTCCTAAAAATGTCACGGAGTAGCACAAGCTGCAATGAGGAAGAGTTGCCCAGTAATGATCACTGGGCAAAGAGGAGAAGCCCCAGGTTACCTCTTGATGTAGATATTGCAATTGAAAGCACGCAAGCCAGAAGTACAAGGATAAAAATGCCAATGCTCAGAAAAAAAATATCAGAATGCAGAATTAGGTTCACTTACCTGAATCTCTTCTAGCTGCAGCACTCTAATGATAAAGCCCTTGAGCTGCTGGAGTTTTACAAGAGCAAGCCGTAGTCGATCATTTATCATGGTGGTTTTATTGAGTACATCTGGCCAGTAACGCTGGCATTTTATCTTTTCTCCTTCAACTTCCTGAGTCATCATGGCAATCACAGTACAGTTTTGCTCCCAAACCATTTGCCAGAAATCTGCTACAGTAGTAGGGAGGGGTCCTTGACAGGCGATGTAAATGAACTCTTCGTTCCCCACTGGCATGCGAATGAAGCTGGCATTGATGTATCCACCTTCAATCCCAAGAGGTACTCTAGTGGTATCATCTACAACCCCCACACAACAAAAATACCTCAGCGTTATGCGTGCACATAATTAGACCATCACACAATAGAGATGCTGAGCCTTACATTCTCGTGTAGTACTTATCTTCACAGATGCTTCCAGATCTTATTTAAAACAATAAATCACTACAATGCCTGCTCTAGGATACTAATCAGTATTTCTCTTTGAATAAAGAAAAAAGATGGCTAGAGGAGAAATCTAAATCAGCAAACAAGCAGGATACATGACTTGAACTACAGCACCTCTGAAACTGAGGTTGAATATTTCTTCACTCAGAGCTTTGTCAGTCCTCACTTCCCCACACAGTCTCCCACTTAACAAACAGAATTTTGTTGCAGGAAATTTACTGACAATAGTATATGTGTCATTTTTCCAATTTTACATGGGTTAAACTGAAAAAAAACACCCCCAAAAACCCAAACCAAAACCAAACATGTCTGGCTCCATATATCTATCTATCTATATATCATTTAAGACATAAGATCTGCTGTAAGAACTGAAGAATCTGAACATCCATCTCTTCTATTTAAATTGCTTTATAACTGCTTGCTTTAAATGTGCAGAAAATGAGTGACAGATTTATTTTTTCCCTACTCAGCAGCAGAAGCAGGATTGGGAATCAAACCATCCCACTTCTGATCTAATTCATCTGACCCTACAGGCAGTGATAAAATATCAACATTGAACTTAAGACTAGTTAGGACTTACAAGGAAGTATGTTTTTATATCTGTTCTTCTTCCTATTCTCCTTTGCTTGCCCAATCAAACACTGATCCAAAGGTTTTAACTCCTGCAGGTTCTGTAAAGAAGCAATTACCCATCCATCAGAAAGCACTGAATGGTAACACGTGTTAAGAGCAGTTAGGAGATAGAATCATTTAAAAAAATCCTAATGTAAAATAATTCCATCACAGGAAAGAATCTAATTTCACATAGCTAAAAAAATGAAACAAAACAAAAAAAACCTGTTACCCAGTAAATATTTTCTCATTCTCCCACAAAGGAGATCATATAACATGGCTGACTTAAAACTTTGGAAAGGCTGTTTTCACATTCCGCAGCCAGGTTTTGCTGCCTTCATTTACCCTGTCTATGTCTGTAAATGTCATATTCACTTGGCAATTTACCAGAAGTAAGAATAATGTAAACACATTTTTTTAATTGAATTCCTGGTTTAAACTAATCTTACCTCTCAGCAGCTAGTGGGGGGAAGGGAGAGAAGTCTTTGATAAAAGAAGCCTTTTCATCCCTTTCAAGCCGCAAATTAAAGAGCTGTGGTATTTAAGGCGGTGATGAACCAGCCATTCTATTTCTAACTGTTTCATACCAGGAAAAAGGACTTTAAAGGACAAATAGTTACTCACTTCAATCTCTTTAGAAGGGACTCCCTGTTCCAGCAATCCCTGCAACGTCCTGATGACTGACTTCAATTTGGCTCCTGAGTATTTGCCTCCAGGGAGTACATTCACAGTAGGGAGTGCAGAGATCTCTTCATTTGTCACTGAGGGGAAATCTAGCAGAAAAACAAAATGGTTGATATAAATATAAATAAATTAATAGCTAAAACTAGGGAAATATAAACTGTAGGGCAACGTTGGATTTCCTTGCTGCTCTTCACCACTGTACTACCTGTTTTCTCTAGAATGCCTCCATGCACCAGAGGGAATACACAGATGTCCCCTTGGTTTGACAGGCAAAACCAAATTAACTAACAAAACCAGTAGGACACAAAATCATTTGATGAATCCAGGAACCAAAGGGAGTATTTTCCTGAACTTCCAATAAACACACCAAAGCAAACTTCAAATACATTTTAAATGTAAGTTCTCCACACAATAACCTACAAAACTGATGAATGCACAACGGGATGAATTCAGAACTCTCCACGTAAACATCACAGCCTGTGACTTCATTTTTAGCATTTATACTCAACGTATCTTTTAAGTGGTAATTGTAAGACACGTTAAATATATCTTTTTTTTCCCCAATAAAGCTTGCTTTCTATCAGGCCTTCAGTGAAGCACAACAAAATCAATAAACCACGAGTCTCTCTGGTATGACAATTAAAAGTGTCCTAAATCTACTTGTCTAAAGGTTTACACAGATTAACCCTTTTTCTTTTCATGAATACAGACAAAATGCTGTTGTATATGAATATGAGGAACTGACTCAGAAAGTAAAGACTAGATTCTGCCAAATGCATGAAATTGAGTGGTGTTCCACTCCGCCACGTCGAGCAGCAGGGGAAGAATGAGAGTCAAGATAAAGAAACAAATATTGCCTAATTCGAGCATGGAGTAGCTGGTATGTGAAGCACATATTATAGTGATCTGATCATGGTCAAATATTTATGCTGTTACAGCTTCTGTCAGATAGATATCATGGAAGAAAGCATCTCAGCCAGTTTCAATTCTACTATTACAGCCTCAACATTGCCCATATTTGATCCTATTAACTCTCACACCTTTATTATACAGATCTGTAAAGATCCTTTCCAGTGGGTTGCTGAGCTGTTAGATTTCTCATTATACCTGTCATTACACCCACAAAACATATCCAGGACATTTTAAAATTTACTTCTGACATTATGTCTATTTAATGTGATCCTCAGTTTTCCACTGGTTATTTGTTAAAGTTCTTGCCTTTATTTACACGTTCCTGGCTGATTGATTCAATCGGCAGTTCATCACTTCCCCACGTGATTTCATCTTCATCTGCTTGGCTCAAGGAAGGTTGTGGAGGAGATCTATAAGAGGATAAGGTATGGAAGTAAGAAAGAACACCTAGAAATAATCAACAAACTTGCAATCTAATAAAAAAAATACCAGAAAGTAATTTATAGCTACAAGTATTTCTGGACTGGATCCATTCCAGTAATCTCAAAAAACCCATCATTTTTTTTCCTTTCTTAAATCCCCAGTGGGGACTTGGAAAAGGTAACAGTGAAGGAAGAACCAGAGAATCTAGTAACAACTATTACTGCAATTACTTTTCAAATTGCTAAGCAGTCAAATAACATCCAATAGCAGACTGGTACCATTCACAGAATTCACTACCTATACACTAGAATATCTATTTTCAATTGCAAGTTTTCTAGCTTTGTTCAAGATGGTGATAAATGTATTAAGTATTTTAGGTCATAATGTCACTGCCTGTGTCAAGTCCCAACCCCTAAATTTCCAGAAACTTAATCAAAACATTAAAAGAAGTATATACACCTCGACTGAAGCTTCAACTTAGACTAACTTTATTTCACACAGAAAAACCACCTTGGGAACTTCCAAGATTCAAGGTGGCTCAAAGGGACAGTTAGTAACTTGGCCCAGAATATCCTTAGTTTTCCATGTAAAAACAAATAAGCCCCAAGCACCCAAATGGGAACAGATGGACCCGTGGAACTATACAGTTTAGTTTCTCTGCTCTAAAACTAGAAGAAGGAAAGTTAATGAAGCTTGTAAAGACTCAAACTGAAGACAGCATTGCTTGAACGTTTTCTTTACATGCAAGTACCAAATTGTTAGTGCAATGCAAATTAAGTTATTTGGAGCCATTTGAACACAGCCCAGTTACTTGTCATAACCACATATCCAAGGAATAAATAAAACTAGGGCATAGAAAACCACATAAAGCTAACTAATATTCAGGCAAATTATAACTGTTTAAATAACAAGAATAGACAGCAATTCAACAAGACACTGCACAGATATTTCATTGGGTTTGGTTTGGGGGTGGGTTGTGGGCTTTTTTTTTTCCTTCCTCATTATAACATATCCCTCTTTAGAGTTTCAGATTTCCCAGGTTTGCATTCAAGCAGCACTAGAAAAGAAATCCTACCTTTCTGGCATAGCTTTTACTTCACAATAGTCTTCACAACCATTTACTTGTGTTGGCTAGTGGAAGAAATATTTCAAAACACATAAAAGGACACAGTTAAAACACTCACCCACTGTAAACTTTAAACAATTAACAGCTACATGGACTATTTCTGAAGGGTACTAAGTTCAAAGCAGCACATAATGAAAGACTTTCCTCTTTTAGATATCTCATTAACCCAAAATAACAGAGGATGAGAATGCTGAGCACTTGGAAAGAGGCTCTGCTGTAACAAGGCCAAAAAGCTATCTTAAAATCACTCCTGACTCACAGCAGCAGTAGAATCATCTACATCTTCTCCATTTGACTTCTTTTTTTGTTTCTAATACTTAAAAACTTTTTATGAGGTAAGTTTGATAGTGAAAACTGGCCTCCTCTCAAGCCACCATTCCTAAACATAAAAGAACAGGGCTTTGCCTCTAAACGACAGGTACTCCTACATATGCCTTCCTCAACAGATGATGAAGACTCAGCAGAGAAGGCATTTTGATCCTCCCTTTCAAGAAAAAACTCTATAAAACCATTTATACTTATTAGGTCAGCTTCCAAGTTCCTACTTCCATACTCAGAGAACTGTAATTGTGGGTGTCCTAGAGCACACTGACACAGAGCCAGATTCCCAGTTTGACTCTCAGCTCTACTAACCAGACAGAAAGCTGCAACAGCCAGGATGTGCTGGGTAAGCAGAGTTCTGCTGATCTGCAATATGAGACAAAACCTAGGCATCTACTGACTGATGTAAAACAGTATATGCAATAAAGTAGGGTGAAGGTAAACCACATATAGAAGTTACTCAAGTTAATGCACATATCCTAGCAAAAACTAGGAGGAAAAGAAATCTCTAATTTACATGTTGGACAGTTAAGTCTACACAGCATTCACTGTGCCTGCTTTCCTTCTTTGAGCAGGAATCAAAGAAATCTTTTAGATTAAATGCCTGAAATAACATTAACAAGGTAGTTTATTATCGCCCTTTTTGAAAAAAAGCTGTTGGGCGTTATATGAGAAACAGTGTAAAATAACTCTCTATGCTTTGTTCTCTTATATAGTTAATTTATGATAAAATAATCACACACTATTTAAAAAATAAATATTTGCACAAGATTTACAGCTACTACCAACAAGGATGTTTTCATTTATAAGACTACTGTAAAGTTATTTCCACAAATTCTATGCCAATAAGGAAAATAATTAATTGAAAGAGCTTCTGAGAAAGTAAAATCAGCAGACAAACGTCTGCCAGCTTCTTGCCATCCCACCTCTGAAAAATCTTCAGGTAAAGATGACCCATCACAGTCTGTGTCTTCAGACTTATCTTCTATCAGCTTTCCATTCATCTCTACTGGAACAAGAAAATCAGGAGATACAGCATAAACACACCAAAAGATGCCCAGGAGTCACCTTCTCACAGTTGTGAATCCTGTTACACCTGCCTGGTGCTACACAGGGGATACAGGTGCCAGAATAACCAAGAAATATCTTTTAAGCCCCTTTGCTACCAGTGTGTCAAAAAAGAGGTCTTATTGTAGAGGATAACCAGACTTTAGGCATCTTTCTTTTCTAACTGGAACAGCTGCTGTTACACCTGAGGTTGTTTGCATAGCTAACAAAATATCTGTGCCACAGCATAATGGGTGGACAGGCTAGTGCCAGTAAGTTAGTAGATTCCCATGTCACTAGTTTCTGCAGTTCAGTTATATTTAGACCAGCAGTAGGTCTAAACCAGGATTCTACTTGCTCTTTGAATTAGCAAGACCTAATTAAGACATGCCGAATGAAATCTGACTTGGATCTGTCTGCTGCAGTAGTTTCCTGCTGCCGTTATCTTATAGATTCATTAATCTTCAGCTGCAAAGGCCAGATCCTAGCTAGAAGAAATTAGAAGTAGTGGAGCTCCAATTATAATCATCTTCTGAGCACAGGCAGAACCTCAGGTTTCCTGATTTCTTACATCATGACCAATGTCTATAACACAATGAACTTGAAGAGTAGCGAAAGAGGTGAAATAATTATAATTTTGGAGGTTATACCTTGAGTTCTGGAAGGAACATCTACAGGAGTAACAAGCATCTTGCTTGAATTTTTGGAGCATAGATACATAGTGTGACATCACAAAGGAACTACTAAAACTAAAACTCCTGAAAACTAAATTTCAGTCAATAAAAACTGGAGCTAATGAAGAAAAAGAAATCCGTACAGACAGAAGCAGGTACTGAAAAACCAGTTTTTCTAAAAGAGACAAAGCAGGTTGGCAGATTGCTTGGTTTTGAAAGATCTCAACGCATTTCCAAGCTGTGCTATCTGCAATCACTGAAATAATTCCACTCATGAGATAATTCTAGAATGGGGTTGATTTTCCCAGATTACTTAAAGCAAAACCCCAGATTTATCAAACCAAATTTGATATTTGATAAACCAAATAAATCAAACTTGATTTATTAATTTGCACTTGAAGTTCGCTGGAATCAGCAACCATTTGTCTGTGTTCCACTTGGGAAACTTTCAGTTCACACATCAATTGAATGTGAACTCTCCCTCTTGCCACATCAGTTGCTTCCTTGGCACCTTGTTTCAGGAAGCATTTTACTGTTAATGATATGCTTTTTAATGG